ACCCTGTCACGACGACCAAATCCATTTATAAACCCCAATTTTTCAACTTCTATCTCTCTCTCCCTTACATTTCGGACCACCTCTCACCCAAACCCCTCGAATTTTCCCGAGAAAAGGATTCTGATTCTCCTTTTTTCCTACCGGGAAAATTTCGTTTTCAGAAACCAAAACGATTGGATCCAAATCTTCTATTGCCTAATTTATCGGTTTGGTCTCTGTTTTTTGTTGTTGTTGTTACAAAGTCACTCAACTTTCTCCTTTTTTTTCTTTTGGGATTGCTTCTCCAACCACCACCGTTTTTATCCTCCCTTCGCCGTCGCCATCACCGGAGATATTTCCGTGGTGCTGCGTTTGGCCGGTTTACCAGTGAGAGCTCTGTTCCGATAATCTAATCCGAGTTTTTCCCTGTTTCGCGAAATTCGAGATCCAGATTTCAATTCGATTTCGTGATTTTCAATCGGACCAATAACAAGAACACGATCGAGGATTTCGATTCTGATTTTGATTTACAAAACTATGAACACGAATTTACGTTACGATCCGAGGCAGATCTCGAGGCAAACGAAACCGTCAGATACACCATCGTCTTCTCCGTCCCGTAGTCATCGGAGACAGCCTTTGCTACAAAGAAGTCTCTCTTCTCCGTCACCAAGAGCTACTTGCGGCGGATCCACTCCCGCTGAGTTTTGCGGCGGTACGACGGCGAGTTGTGCCGCCGTTTGGTGTTGTTGTCCATGTGGACTCGTTAACCTACTCGTACTCGCGATCTACAAAGTTCCCAAAGGGATCTGCCGTCGCGCTCTCCGTAATCGTCGCCGTAAACATCTGGTGAAGAACGGAATGCTTCCGCCGCTTCAGACTGACGGAAAAACCGAACGGATGCAGAGAGTTTTCCAGAACTCGGAATTCGCGATTCATCCGTTGGATAGTAACGACGTCTCAGACGATGATGACGACGATTTCTTGGATCTGAAATATATTGGAAAATCGGCTGCGGCTGGGCTGGTGACGACGGAGGAGGAGATTGATGATGATGACGCGGCGGTGTTAGCTTTAGAGAAAGAAATGTGGAACAGATTTTACGGTGCTGGATTCTGGCGAAGTCCATCACAGAGAGAGTCCGTTTCGTCTCCGAGAGATTCAAAGTCTCTTTCAACATCGTCGCCGAGGCCGTCGATTACTGAAGTATACCGAAACAACTCGGCGATTCGAGGCGGAGGAGCTACGGTGGTGACGGCGACACCAAGAGCCGTTAGGCATTTTGATTAGGGGAAAAGGAAACGTTTATGAAATA